GTGTACCGGTACTGTATGTACATGTATATTATAATAATTTTTCAATATGTTGTTACACTCTTTGTAAAATGAGATATTGTGGGAACCAATAAACTATCTATCAATCTATGTCACTGCTGATTTCCTCTGTCAGAAGAAGCCCAAACTGCCTCTTCAATGAAATCTACAGGTCAGCTAGCATGTCAAATAAGTGTCTTAGCAGTGCCAAGATATACCAGTGTTCCCCTGAGGAACGGAAACTGCAATGCTCTATGAGCAACACACTTGCATGTTTTAGTACAATTCAGTGCCAGGCATGCGACACATGGACTCACTTTGAATGCACAGGGTAAAAGAACCATGATCGAGCAGAACTAATAATAGACAAAAAGGCCCCATTCACCTGCGGTACCTGCAAAGCTATTAAGTACTACATGTACTACCTTGACACTACGAACTTGTGATGATACCTCACCAAGCCAACATCTCAGAGAAGCCCAAATGGATGAACAACCAGAAACAGAACAAGTTTGCTGACATGTCCCAGTGATGCTCGTCCCTTGCCTTCCAGTCCACGCTCCACCATCAATGGGTTGTTACAGATTTGCTCCTCACGATCGCAGCATGGCGGAAAGGGCACATCTAACGAAGGGGAGTACTTTGACAGCAATAATCAAGATGAAGGTACGCAAGCAACTTCTGTAAGAGGTGTCCTTGAGGAAGGTCAACCTGAAGAACCTGGACCTTAACTATAATACGTCATCGATGATGTAAACAAAGCTCTTCAAGAACATGATGAAAGTGGGCACACAGTTGGGTTGGAAGATGAGATGCAGAGGACTCTTTCAAATAACATCGTCCATATCCCAACTGCCTATGAGAATCCCCCATCAAAAACCTCTGAATATGAAGCTTTTTCCAAACATATGTAGGAGCTCAAGTACAAGTGTATTTGAGTTAGCCAACCAAAAGGTTGGAGCGCCATCTGGGGCAACAGACTTTGAGTTTCAAAGACGAACATGGAAGATCCGATGTTTGAGACAAATTGATGAATATATGCATCATCTTCATAGCTGTAGACAACTGATTGACTAAAAGGAGGCAAGAAGGTCAGTACTTAAACTTGCAGTGTTTAATTTGTGGGAAATATGTGTATAATCATGATATTTATGCAATAACTTTGAGACAGGTGCCCATGTATAAGAATTTAAGTTATATTAAGTGTGAAGACTGTTCAGGAAACACAAAGAATGCCCATGGGCCATGCTCAAATTCGGATAAGGAACCTGTAATTATTATAGCATCTTTGAATTAATGCCCATTTTTTGTTGTCATTTGCTTCTCTCAGTTTTCACAGAGTTCAAAGAAATGAAGCTACGCTCATAAGAAGAGCTAAACAAGAATACAAGAAACACTCCCGTAAAAGCATTGTCAACTTGTTGTTTTTGATTGGCCGCAGTTACATCAAGGAAGACTTGAAAAAAATGCAACATAAACGCAGTCATATTAATGGAGAATGAACAACTCCTCAACCAGACGCGACAGCTTCAGAGGGAGCATGACATGGTTCAACACACTGTGGAATAAGAGCACAATTCCAGAAGAACTAGCCGACTTATGAATGATGACCTCAGTATAGCCTTTCCTAGCAAGGTCAACTTCAGGAGTTCTGCCGAAGGCATGACAAACAACACTCCAAACTGTAACCTACAACAGAATATCACAGGATCTGAAGTCAGCAATCGACCAAGCCCAACTTTTCGCTTTTTCATTCTGCTGATGTTATGGCCAACAAACCTCCAAACTGGGACCTACAACAGAATGCCACAAGAATAGAAGTCAACAATAAGCCGAAGCCAAGGACGCTCTTTCGGCCAGCTGAAGTCATGTCGAGCAACATTCCAAGCAGTGACCAACAACAGAAGGCCAACAATCAGCCAGAACAGAGCTCTCTTTTTCGGCATGGCCGTGCATCGGCCGCCACCAACTAGTGGCAGATGGAGACAGTCTACTACCTCACAGCGTCTCTACTAAACCTTCTGACAATACACTCCATGCACCCATCAACTGTTAAAGCATTGGGTACACGAAGGGGAGCCTGTTCTTCAACTGTTACATGCCGTGTGACGTCACCCCAAAAGTTCTTGCTGAATATCAGGCCATCTTAGAGGAAATCTTGTGCATCATCCAACAGAACCATTCTGGCACCTTCGTTGTAGGTGGTGACTTAAGCGTTGATCTTCACAACAAGGAGCGTAAGAAATGAGCAAGGAACATCCTTGATGCTTTCATCACTGAAAATGAGTTTTCCTGTCTATCTATGATCTTTAGAGATCAGGAAGCTTACACCTTTCAAAGTGATGATGGCACTAAGCGGTCCAACACAGACACATTCTTGACCCATGCCCTGATGGCTGATGACTTCTCCAACCTTGAGATCTTCTACACAAGGCCTCTGAATCAATCCTGATGAGAACCTCTAACAGTCACAACCAGTTTGCAGTCAATTTTTGTTGAAACTCATTGAAAAACAGAGGCAAGGGCAAGGTTGAGTGAAATCTAGAGGTGGAGGAGTACTATCAGAGGTAGATCAACGTGTGGAACGTGTTATCTGCCAAGCTCAAGAAAGCTTTCCCTGCCAAGCTGCTGCAGTCAAAAGGCGCCTGCAGAAACAGACTTTTCTCAAAGATTGAGGAGGCCCATGAACACAGTGACAGGCTGTTCTAAACACTAGTGAAAGGAAGAGGACCAAAACACAGGTGTGCAGCAGCTTCACCTTGGAGGTCGTTGCTATTCATTTCCATTTCCAAGATCTTTCCACACCAACTGACTACAGGGCAGCACAAGCTCCCAATCCAACCCACCCAGAAAGCCAACTCCCCCATGGGTTAAAACATCTCTTTACATCAAAGGAGCTGTACACTGCCATCTCTTCCTTAAAGCCTGGCAAAGCGAGTGGACCTGACAACACCTGAAAACCTATTGTACGCTGGTTGCACTACCAGGATTCTCATCCTTGTCCTGATGAATTGGATGGTTCATTTGGAGCATTTTCCACCTAGCCTTAAGAATGGTCTTGCGATCCCTCTTCACAAAGGCAAAGACAAGAAACCATCTATCCCAGGTAACTATAGAGGAATCTGGCTCACCCCTGTCCTACGCAAACCTAAACTCACCCAACACCTACAACACCAAATACCAGACCCACTCCAATTCGAATTCCAGCAGGGAAGATCCTGCACTCTTACAGGAAAAGCCCTGGACCTTGTCATTGAAATCTTCAAGCTCTCTAACCAACTATACACCTGGATGCTCAGAAAGCATTTGACAGGATTTGACAGGAAGGTATCCTGGCATAGAAAGCAGCAACACACCCATCCCCAGCTCTGCTCCATACCATTGCAGAATTTGACAACAGCTGCTCAAGCAAGGTGTTCTGGTACCATTCTATACACTATGAACATGACAGACAATGAAAGCGGACAAAATATACAGTTCCTCAGGTAGACAAAGGAACATCCCTTCACTGCTATTATGTAAAAAGGTGAACATGCATGTGACACCTGTGCTACACATTTTTACATAATAGCAGTGAAGGGATGTTCCTTTGTCTACCTGAGGAACTGTATATTTTGTCCGCTTTCTTTGTCAGTCATGTTCATAGTGATAGGACCCTCTTTTCATGTCATACAAGGAGTTAGGCAAGGAGGAGTATTATCTCCCACGCTCTACACACTCTACATTGATTACCTCATCAAGCTCCTGAGAGCAAGCCATTTGGCTCTAAAGCAGCTCAGCCTTCCCACTCTAGACGAGCTTGTAATGAAGCCCCCAACTACCAGCTATGGAAGCACATGGTGCAGTCAGCAGTGATGCAAGCTTCTAAGTCCAGACAGTGTGTTGCCCTCACTAACAGGACTTCTTTATCCCAAAGGCCAAGGATATATATCCTGGGCGTATCGCCAACCTGAGCTTAAGGCCAGCTATCACCATTTGAGTCCAGATCTCCTGCAAAAACTTCCTGACCCAAGTCAGGTTTGTCAAGATTGGGAAGGCAGTCAATGACTGCTGCCGTCTGTGTTGGGCAGAGCGGGAGGATGATGAGCACCTTGTTGCAACTTGCCCAGCCTTATCAGCTGTGCGCCAAGACCTTATTAACAAGTTAAGGATAACCTCAACACAAAACAGTTTGCCCAAGACTTTAAGTCTGTCCCTGTACTGGTCTTAGAGTCGGTGCTCTTTCTCCCTCCTGGACCCATCAGAAATAGTGCCAAAACACAGCTGCATACACTTATCCTATATTTGATACGCAATCTTCACACAACCTGTCAAAATCTAGTTAATAACAGCCAAGTACCCCAGCAACCTATAGAAAGCCTGTTATGGAACTTCGGCAGACTCACAGTGCCGACGATCTCCGATCTTAGCTGAGGAAGGATACAAGAGAGAGAGAGGTTGCTCCAGCATAATATCAACTTTCGTTTTAGCCTTTACGCTTAAAAAATGGCGCTTTGCCCTTGGCGAGTTGAATACGCCTTCTTGCTGATCGTTTTAGGTTCTACGGTTAACCAACATGACATGTTCACACATGTATTTGTAGACTGTAGACCTAGGTTGTTTTGTGCAGCAGTTTGCACTTTGCAGTCAAACATGTGAAAAAGTGTAGGCCTATGATATAATGTCTTCATCTTTAGGAAAATTGCTTTAAAAAAGATAGGAAAATTGACACAAAGTGAAAGTCAAAACAGGTTAGAAAGATAATGACTTTGAAATCATGACCACACTTGTGAACTGATGCAACACACTACACTCAGGTCTACCTAATTCATAAACAGTCAATAGTGATGCTCCAACAAGCATTCCTCCTGTGATACGCATGGCCCACTTCTGGATGCGTGCCGTTCTCTTTTTTCTCTCCTCCTTCTTCTTTCTGTCGTCGTCTGTCTCCCGTTTCGCCTTCTCCTCTGCCTCGCGGAGCATTGCCACCAATGGCATCGCACTTTCTGTCGGCTGATTGGGCTGTTTTTCTTCATTTCTGACCACTGAAGTCACTGATAGTGGGCGAACTAATTGCCTAAGATGATGATTAGATGCTGGTAAGTTAGTCCTGCTGTTACTGTTGTGATCCACCCTCCTTGTTCTTGCAGCATTTGTACCCAAAAATCGTAACCACTGCCTCACGCACGTTCCACTGAGCGCTGCCATTTTGTTAAGTTTCGTCAGCATGAAATAACACAAGAGGGAGACAAAGCAGCAGTCATGGCATGACTTATGTAACTTCTGGCTTTGCATACATGTGCTAAAATAAATAAATAAAATTGTATGCAATAAAGTACAAACTTATGCTTGTTATGTATGAAAAAAAAAACTTAGAAGAGGGTAGCTGGATTCAGTTTATTAAATAAATACTCAATTAATTAGGAATTGGAAACGTTAGGCGTAACCAATGTGCTGACATAAATTTGTCATGGTTAAAAAATTGATGTAGATCTATCAACTTTCAACCTCTGTCCAGTTAGCAGACACCTAATCGGTTCCATGTCAAGTCGCCCAATGTCAGCCCGCCCCCTTACAAAGTCGCCCCCAATTGGTCATGTCGCCTCCCGATTTTTTTTGCCGATTTTGGGATTCTTGGTCAGCTCGCCCCCACTTTTTTGGTCATCTCGCCCCCTAATTTGTTGTTTTAATTTGATGTATTTTACAAGTTCAAAGTCAAGCCATTTTTAGTTCCTTGTATCTCAGTACTATGTTATTACTTTGTTATCACTAAATATTGAAAATTTTCCTCGTAACTGCATATTTTCGAGGATATTTGCATCTAAGTTTCCACCAGCTTTACGTACTAGTACTACCACATCGCTCGTTCTGACTCCACTGACCACTGGCTTAGCTCTAGTGACGGAGCTTATGGATGTAAAATAAACTTGAATACAACCATATTTTCTGTATTTGTAATGAAAGAAAGTGTTCTCACAGTGAAAAGTTGTTAAAAGTTGAATTTTGAAACAGCTACATTTCAACTCTTAGACTATTGAATTATTCATTGGGAAGTCAGCGCTGCTGCGACCTAGCCTGCGCCTGCATGTACTGGCCGTACAACCGCCCACTCGCACCGGCGTTATTTTTGTAAACAACACACCCCAAATCCAACACAGACACACACACACAAAAAACAACATGAGCGAAGCTACTTATTTGCATCTGGCCCATTCTAGGATTAATGTAGGCCTATAAACTTGTTTTTATGTATGTGTTTTGACAGTATTTGATAGGTAATGTATGGCAATAAAATTCATTAAAATGTAAGAAATTCTTTTATGGTAAGATTGGGTTATCAAGTTATCATAGATTTTTTTGTAATTAACAACAAACGCTAACAGTGTACACCACAACGCTGTTAACACAAACACAAACAACAACATGAGCGAAGGTTTTTTTTTCAATACAGCTTCTGATTTGCATCTGGGATTAATACATTTAATTTATGCATACAATTTGTGTGTTTATGTATGTGTTTTGACAGTATTTGATAGCATACTGTCTTCTGTTTGGCGATTTTCGAAAGCACGTTTCGACATACTCCTCAATAAGAATTGTTAATCATATAACGCATATAGCCAGATTTAACCCTATCTAAAATATTCATTCAAAGATATTACAATCATGCAAAGATAAAGGAATAAACAAGAGGATGAGATTAAGTATTGTCACAGACGAAAAATGATAGGGGAAATGTTTGCTTCTCTCTCGCTCGCTCGCTCTCTCAACGCCATTTTCCATCTTTATCCAGTGGCGGATCCAGGGGGGGGGGGGGGGCACAGGGGGCACGTGCCCCCCGGCCAAAAAAAATATGTTAAAATCAGCCCTAAATTCGCCCAAAATATACTGAAAAACAGGGGCGTGCCCCCCCGGCCAAATTTTTTTTTTTTTTTTGTGTCCTCTTACCCCCCCCCCCCCTTATTCAGCGGCCGGCTGAGTCGTTGCGATTTTTGGGGGACTAAAAAAAAAAATATATGTTCTCTTTCCCACACGGTGCCCCCCCCCCCCCGGCAAGAAATTCCTGGATCCGCGCCTGTTATCTCTCGTACTGCTTTTTGTTCCGCTTTTTGTTTTTATACCGAAATTATTTCTTCCGATTTTGAGAAAAAATATTATACAATAATTTTTAAATGAAGAAAAGAAACCCGGAACGAACGGCTGATATCGAAATGAGAAGAATATTACTGTACAATAATAAATTATTATAAAGTAAAAGTTAGGATATAAAAGCATCTCTTTTGCATACAATTAATATGAAAAAAATATTTGTTGACAGTATATACGTCGGACGAAGGAGATAACTCCTTGGTCGGACATTTTAATTTAGCGAAAAGATATAAACAAACAAAAAGAAAGAAACCAAAGAAACATTCGGAAGGGGGGGGGGGGAGAGAGAAGAAGCATAATAATAAATACAGTACAGACTATACGTCCAACTTTCTAACCCCCCCCCCCCCCGCTCTCTCTTTCTCACTCTGTCTCTCTCTCTGTCTATCTGCCAATGTTGTTCACAGAAAAATGTCACAGAAAACATGATTATGAAAAATGATTGTTTCTCTCTCTTTTTCTCTCTCTTTATGTCCCCCTCTCTCTCTCTCTTTCTCCATCTATCTCTCGCTCGCTTTCTCTGTCTGTCTCTCTCTCTGTCTATCTGCCAATGTTGTTTCACCATTTGCTTGTATGCCGGCGACATTCCTTCTTTGAGCTTAATTATTATAACATTATCCCTGATGATGTACAAATATATACCGTATTATAGGGAACGAAATAGAAAACGAGCGGCTGATAATGTCGAAAAGGGAAGAATGTATACTGTACAATAATAATATACAAAGTCAAAGTTTGAATGTAAATCTCTGTTGCATCAAATTGATATTAAAAAAATGTTTATTAATATATATTGACGGTACTACTATACGTCGGACATTGTACTTTAGCGAAACGATATAATCAAACAAAAAAGAGACGGACTAAAGAACAAAATCAGAGCTTGGGGGGGGGGGGGATCGGAGTGACAAAGACAAAAATCATAATAATAAACACAGTACAGACTACGTCCAACTTTCTATCTCTCACCCCCCCCTCTCTTTCTCTCTCTCTCTCTGTCGCCCTATTTCTCTCTCTCCCTCTATCTGTCAATGTCGTTTTCCATGTTCATCTTTCATAATGTTTTCTATTCCTCCATTTGCTTGTACGCCGGCAGCATCCCTTCCTTGAGATTAATTATTATAACATATCCCTGATGATGTGCATGCACAGTATACCTTATATTTATTTTAGGAAACGCTATAGAAAACGAGTGGCTGATAATGTCGAAATGAGAAGAATATTACTGTACAATACTTATAAAAAGTAAAACTTTTGAATGTAAATCTCTGTTGCATCAAAATAAAATGAAACGTTTATTACATTATACTTAAGCACAAAATAGTTATCTAGAAGAAGGTGGACAACATAAAAAGAGAAAGAATGAAACTTTATCTTTTATTTACAAACATAATTTATAAATAGCTTAAAGAATATTACTGTAATATTATAAACAGTAAAACTTTTGAATGTAAATCTCTGTTGCATCAAACTGATATCTAAACAAAAAATGTTTATTATGCTTCATTGACGGTATACGTCGGACATTATTATAAACAAACAAAAAAAGAGAAAAACAAAATCTGAGCTGGGGGGGGGGGGGGAGGGGAGTCGGTGAGAAAAATATCATAATAATAAATACAGTACAGACTGCGTCCAATTTATTTTCTATCTACCCGCCACCCTCCTCCCCTTCTCTCTCCCTCTCTCTGTCTATGTCCATCTTCATCTTTCATAATGTTGTCTATTCCGCCATTTGCTTGTATGCCGGGCATCATCCCTTCCTTGAGATTAATTATCATAACATATTCCTGATGTTATACGTCGGACATTATACTTTAGCGAAAAGATATGATCAAACCAACAGAGACTAACTAAAGAACAAATTCAGAGCCACTGGGGGAGGGGGGGGGGGGTGATCGGAGAGACAAATATAAATACAGTATACAGGCTACGTCCAAATTTCTACCCCCCCTCACATAATTATACCTTATATTTAGTTTAGGGAACGAAATAGAGAACAAGCGGCTGATAATGTCGAAATGAGAAGAATATTACTGTATACAATACTTATATTATAACAAATAAACATTTGAATGTAAATCTCTGTTGCATCAAAATAAAATGAAACGTTTATTAAATTATACTTAAGCACAAAAGAGTTATCTTGAAGAAGGTGGACAACAATATAACAGAAAGAATGAAACTTTCTCTTATATTTACAAACATATAAATAGCATAAATAGCCTGATTCTGACCGCTGCACTAGCGCACTGCCTAGGGGGCGACTGTGTTTAGGAGGCGACTGTGTATAGGAGGCGACTCGACCACACAATTTGGGGGCGACTACATTAGGAGGCGACTGCGTATAGGAGGCGACTGTGTATAGGAGGCGACCGGCTTGGGGGCGAACTGACCGGGTGCGTTATTTTTTTTATGCGGCACAGATTGGGGCTTTTTTTAAAAAGGGGTCTTGATTTACAGACTAAAACTGGTCGTGTGCGTACTAGACAGTATAAGTAGTAGAGGTCTGTTTTTAATAGTGTTTAATGTAATCCACTACCGCATGGAAAATCATTACATCAACAATTAAAATCAAATTGGAAATCTGAAGAGGAGGCAGCACGTCAATAAGGAGAACATCACAATAATTAGTCAATAAAACTTAACTAACTTAAACGAAGAGGAATGTTATCTAAACACATAGTTCGCGATGAATATACAAACTTCTTCGCAGCGCTAATGCGCTAGCGAACATGACTAGTCTCGCGTACGTGCAGACACTATTCAGAAGGGAAAGAACGTACTTCCCATAGGTTTAACACGCGCCATGCCCCAATCTGTGCCGCATAAAAAAATAACGCCGACCGCGTGAAGCTTTTCTTCACACACCTAATCGGAGATGAAGGTAGCCCATCTTATGTGTAAAAAATGCCAATTTGATAAGTGTAAGGATCGCATTGTACACGTA